GCCTCACAGGTATGGACTTTATCTTAGTCCATTCAGCTTGCTATAACAAAATACCACCAACTGAGAGGCTTATAAGTAAGAGAAATCTCTTTCCCACAGTTCTGGAGCCTGTAAGTGGGAGCTCAAGGCATACCTAAATACAGCGTCTGGTGAGGGTCTGTTTCCTGGTTCATAGGTGATGCCCTCTCACTATACCTTCACGTGGTGAAAGGGGCAAGGCAACTCTCTGAGGCCTCTTTGAGAAGGGCATTAATCCCATTCATATGGCTCCACTCTCATGACCTGATCACTTCCTGAAGTACCTCTCCTCATGCCATCAGCTTAGGGCTTAGATTTCAATGTAGGAGTCAAAGTGGGAGGAATACAACCATTCAGACCATAGCAGACATTAAATCCCCAAAATTACTCCCACCCTAGGTCTCCCAGGACTCCAGGCTTCCCAGCCACCCACCACTACCCTTCTCTTCCCTCCGAGTCTTCTCAGCTTCACTCACTCCTTTCCAATGCAGCATCTGCCCTCCTGCTAGATCTGCTTTCCTTCATCTGTAGCATTTCCTCCTTTGTTCTCCACCACCCTTTTCCCTTCTTCCCTCCTTCCCAATACTTCTTTCTCCTCTTCTCTCCTACTTCTCTCCCCACTCCTTCCCTCTCTTCCACTCCAGATCCCTTCCTTCCTTCTTCCTTTCTTCCTTCTTTCCCCAGTCAGCCAGTGCCCTGTACCCGAAGTCAGTATGGACAATTCCAGAAAATGAAGATACCACCTTGCTCAGGAGGAGCTCACAGTTCTAGTAAGAGAGACAGATGGGTAAGACTGCCATGTGACAAATTCCTAAAACCTGGAGGGCCCTGGGATGATTTGAGGAAACACCCTCTCTTTCCTCACTACTCTGAGTCTAAGCAAACTTATTGTCATAGCCTCATCCGTGGATCCTGGTGGTGCCTTTGTGCAAGCTTTGATCCACTTCTGGGAAAACAGGCCCTGTGCCAAGGCACATGCTTTACAGAGGGAAGTATGCATTGGGTTTCAGCTCCCACTTGCTCTCTTGGCTGGGAGGTTTGTGTAGTGCACAAATATGGAAGTTCTGCTCTGGGGTCCATGCTTTTAGCCAGTAATTGGCTTTGCTCTACTGGACCCCACTGGGCCTTTGGGAAGAACCAGAAAGGCTTTGCAAACAGAGAGGCACCTCTACTCAAATGAAGGAAGCTCACAGAGTGTGTTTCCTGGAGCTGCCTTACATCTTCATCTTCCTGGAGGCCTGGGGCCCCCACCTACTTCTCTGCCTGAACTCTTTCTCTCTTCTTTCCCCTCACCCTCCAAGGCTGAGGAAGAGAGGGTGTCTCTTACCTCTCATCTTTCTGTGCAGTTGGAATCGACAGGTCCTAAGGCAGAAGCACGAGCCCCTCCTCTGACAGCAAACTAGTTTTAGATAAATGAGTATTGGTTTTGCTCTGTTTGCTTTTCATTGGTAGCTATTGTTTGATTTTTTTCCTGCAAAATTGGTTAAGCAATGATACTATGGGTTTAATTCTGCAGGGCATTGACTGGGCAGCTCCCAGAGTCTTTGGTGGGTTTTCTGTTTTGTTTGGCTTTTCACCCCACCTGCATCTTAACTGCCTCCTCTATTTTTGTGGGACAAGGAGGGAGAGAAGAGGGCACTAACACATGTGCATGGAGCATCTATCAATACCAGGCACTGTGGGCGATCTGTGCCAATTGTCCCATTCTGTGTTCAAAAAACAGAACAAGCCAGTGTGGCAAGCCTTGTTCACCCTATTTTGCAGATGAATAAATTGGTACTCAGAGATTTAGAAACCTGCCCAAGGTTGCACAGCAAAAACCCAGCAGGGCCTGGTGGGGAACTATGGCTTCCCCTGCTAGGCACATGTATTTCATGACAGGCCCTCAGCCAGTCCTGTCCAGAGCCCAAGCTGCCCCTCTTTGAATGGAGAGAATGAGGGCCCTAGGCCAGCAGTAAGGTGTGGTTTGCTTTGCCAGCTAGAGGAGTTTGGGATCATTAGAGAAAGGTCAAAAGCAAAAGGGCAAGGAGAAGAGACATGGTGGAGTGGAGGAACTAGCAGAGATGAGACCAATAGAGAGAGCTCTGGGAGGGATAATGACTTGACCACCATGCAAGAGTGCTTGCAGCTGCCACCAGTGGCAGAGGAAAGAAAGAGAAGGGGAGGAGCAATAGCAGGTTCACTTCATCATCTTGGAACCACAGCTTCTATGCCCTGGGTAGCAGGTGCCCAGGGTCAGGAGTCCTGAGCTTCCAGGCAGCAATCGGGGAGGGGATCCATTTTCCGCCTTTCCTTCCTGGATAACATCACCCAATTGCCAGGCATTGCAGAGGCCCATCTGCAGGTAAAACTCGAACTCATAGCTTGAAGGGTCCCTGTAGGTATGGGGTCACATGGAACTTGGCACCAAGCATGCCCGTAGCCTCTGTGTGTTTCGGTGCTGGGTCTCTGTGCATTAGCAAAGTCACCTGGGATGTCACTGGGCCTTAAGCCTGGCTCAGACACACCCCAATGCTACAAGGGGTGGAAGAGGGAGCCAGGAAGAGGGGCTGCTGTGGGCAGTGGCAGCTTCGGGAGGTGAAGTGGGGAGGTGGAAAGGTGTCAGGGCTGAGCTCCTCCCCTTTCCACACCTGTCAGCTGTATAACCTTGGGTGAGTCACTTTACTTCTCTGAGCCTTAAAAATAACAACAACAACAACAAAAACTTTAACATTTTAGTGCTACAGTCTTCCAAATATTGTTTGAAGCATTTTCCTTTAATCCTCAAGGCAACCCTAGATGAACCCATGATTCACACATTCTACAGCACACATACCACGGCAGGCTATTTGTATCATTGAAAGCTCTAAAAAGTTCACCATCACTGAATTAGGGTAATTGTGAAGATCAGTCAAGGTAAAGACGATAAAGCAAAATATAAAGTGTGTGTGTGTGTGCACGTGTGTGTGTGTGTGTGTACAAGCGTGCACATGTATGTAAGATGTTACAGAGCTGGGTGTGGCTGGAGCCCAGCAGGGCACAGTAGCTTCCTGGGCCCTGGCCTCCTCGCAGGGATTCTGACAGCCCCAGAATTTCTAGGGAGGTGTCCCAGTCTGGCCCTGGCCTTACCACCTTCAGTCTACCATTCACTGGATCCTCAGACACCTGTGGGCAGGTCAAGAGTAAGGCATAGTTCCAGGTGCTGCAACCAGGAGCCTCCAAGCTGCCTCCAAGCTAGGAAGCAGACCATGGTGTAATAAATACAGCAAGAGCCCTGTGCAGATGAGAAAGGGCTTAGGGAAAAATAAAGCAACTCTAGGGGCTCAGTGGGACAGCCCCTAGGGAAGACAGCGGGCCTGGGAGGTTTGATGGATAAAAGGTGACTCCATGCCTATAGGATGATCTTCCTAAGACACTCACTTAAACCTCTCTACCTCACCTTCCCTCCTCTAATACCCTTCACCTTGAGCTCAGAGTAAAGATGAGCCTCCAGGCCACCCTTTCCACGGCCTTGCTGGCCCTCCTGGCTGACAGATCTTCTGCCCTTCTGTCCTCTCTCCCTTCCTCCTCTGGGCCTGCCTGCTCTACCTGGCCACCCCTGCCCACCAGAGCAGGACCCCACCCCCCACCCCCACAGCCACCTCCCTGGAGGAGCCTTTCTGGGCCACCTGGGCCCCATACCAGGAGAGAGTCCAGCGCCTTGATTTCACAGCACTGCTGATCACTGCCAGACCACAATCACAGGGAACAGCGATTATCTGCTCTGTGGTGAGTCCCTGGGGCTGGAGAGGAAACGATTCCCCAGTGTATCCCAGGACCTAGCACCATGCCTACAGAACACAGCGGATAGTTAGGCAGCACCCATGGAGTCGCTGACAGAGGACGTGGTCCCCAGTTAAGGCTGCCTTCTCCCTGCCCTACCCCAGGAGGCCTGAGGAGAGAAGGCACCAGCTGTGCCTTCTAGGCCATTCTGAGGGGGCTGGGAGCCAACTGTCAGGCGACATGAAGAGGTGGCCAGCCAGCAGAGCTCGTAAATGGCCTGGTTACATTTATAGCCTAGTTCTTATTAGGCACCAGGAGAGGAGAGATGATTCACACTTCTCCTCCCACCCACAGCCCGGGGAGCTGGAGGCCACCAGCAGGCCTGGCCTTAAATCTCAAAAAACTTAGAAGTCACAAGTGCTCAGGGCCAGCCCCACATCACCAGGGACAACCAAGAGGCATGCAATCTTCTTAGGCAGAGTCCCCCATAGCCCCAGCAGGGCCCAGGCAGGGGGCAAGAGTTCGAGAGGGAAAAAACAGGAGGGTGACCCCGTTGCAAGTTCTCTCCATTCAGATCTGCAGTGAGGGCTGTGTGGCCTTAGGAAGGTAAGATGACCTCTCAGGGCCTGTGGGTGGCAAGCTTCCCCCAGTGAACAGAATCTAGAGGTTTGTAGGAACCTTCCCGAATGATATGATTATCCCTTTCCCCTCCAATCCTTCTATTTTAGAGAAAGGGAAAGGAAGACTTGGAGGTGGCCCTGGCTACAGACTGCCAGCAGCCCTTGCTCTGAGAGAGCCACAATGCAGTGGGCTCATGGAGTGGGCAAGGCCTCTAAAGGGAGGCCAGGGGTGGCATTTAGAGCCTCACTCATGACATCCTCCCCCATGCCTGGTCCCGGAGCCACAGTCCCCACCCTGAGCCCTCAGCAGGTATCCTGCCCCTCCCTGCACTGGACTCTGTGCCCACTCCACAGGGGGCCAGCTGGGGCCTACACCACTGCACACCTCCAGCTGCTTTAGCTTGCTTGCTTTTTTAGTATGTGTAATTGTTTCGGTGAGATTTATTGGAGTTTTTAAACCTTTTTATTGTGAAATATAACACAAATATCAAAAATTGATTAACCCATAAATGGAGAGTGTAATGAGTTATATAAAGTGAACACCCAGGGAACAGCCCTCAGGTCCAGGAAAGAGGGACATTGCCAGCAGCATTTACATGTTCGTCCTCCCTTCCCTCTCAAGGAAGCCACATCCCACCTGCAGGCCTCCCTTCTGTCCTGTGCTGAGTCCAGACACCTGTGAGTTCCAGAGCCCTAAGAGCACCAGACAAGAAGCAAGAGGCACAGGTTTCACACCTGCCTGGGCCCTCCCTTTCCTCACCTGCAAAATGAAGGGTAGGTTCCCTCCAGCTCCAAATCCTAACTCAGCAGGAAGAAACTGCTGCTGGGAGATGTGTGTGCAAGGCTGAAAGTGGGATCAGGGGACACTTGGACATTTTTCCTTCCTTCTCCTTCTGGGGGGCAGGTGGTGCCCCTTCCAACCTCCAGGCACTGTGGCTGGACTGCGAAGGGCCTCTGCCTCCCTGTCTTGCAGGTGAAGTTTTGGGATCCTGCCTGAGACCTGTGAAGAGCCCTGGATCTGCTCACTTTTCTGGGCTGGTCCCCACCCCCAGCAGGGTACTGCTGTCTTGATTACAATCCCCAGAAGCCAAGCAGATTTCTTCCTTCTTGCTGTCACATCACAAGCTTTGATGTGACTGTGGGACCCCATGTGCCTGCACCACTCCTGGACACTGGCAGTGCACACCTGAGGAGAAGAAGAACAGGGAGAGAGTGGGGAGAGGGAGGACAGAGCCAGCATCTCTTGAGCTCCTCTGTGTGTCACATACCTGACATTTGTCAGCTGGTTTCATTGGCTTCCTCCAACATTTGGAAGAAACACTAACACCTGTGTGTGCCAAAGGGAACCCAGAGACACAGACTGATAGTTTGCCCAAAGTCACACGGATAGGAAGAGCAGGGACAAGCTGAGAAAGAGACCTGTATGACTCCAGCACCCTTTCTTTTCACTTCATGTAGAACTCTGGCGCGGAATCCAGGAAAGAAGTAGACCTCTTCGTGAAGTCTTACTCCGGGGCTGGGAGAACTGAGGCGCTGACAATAGGGGATGTGGGTAAATTATCACAGCAAGTCAGTGCTGATGGGAAGTGAAATGAATCAGAAGGAAAAATAGAAACTATGGTGTCTGAGGGGGAAGATGAGGCTGCAGAGAATAGGCCAGGGTTTCCAGCTGGGAAACCAAAGAGACAGCAGAACCAAACTCCAATATGGGGAAGGGCAGGTTTGATTGGGGTGGAGCTCGATTGTGAAGCCTTAAAGCATCTCCTTATTGCTGGAGAAGAGGCTGGAACAGCACGTAAGTTCTGTGAAGTGGTGAGTGGAAAGTCAGCTGGAGGAAGGGAGGGTGAAGGGGTAGAGATCCCCTCTGGACTCCCCACTGAATCCCAGCAGGACTGAATAGAGAAGTACATAGTAGGTAAGTACTTGCATTCATCAGCTTTCCATTACTGTAACAAAATACCTGAAGTAATCAACTTAAAAAGAGGACAGGTTTATTATGGCTCAAAGTTTAGGGGGTTTCAGTCCCTGATCTATTGGCTCCATTGTTCTGGCGGCTGTGGTGAGGCAGCACATCATGATGGGAATACTTGGTGGAGCAAGCCGCTCACCTTGTAGCAGCTTGGAAGCAAAAGAAAGAAAAGGAGATAAGAACAGAGTCCAGTCCCATAATCCCTTTGGAAGGCACTTCCCAATGATCTAAAACCTCCCACCAGGCCCCATTTATGACACATCCAGATGTCCCCCCAAAGCCACATGTACTCATAGGTGGGGCTTTGGGGAGGTGGCTGGATTCTGTGTGTGATACTGGATTAGTCCATTGATGGGTTTATAGCTGAGTGTGATGATGGGAGATAAAGCCTGGTGGGAAGAAGTGGGTCACTGTAGGCATGGAGATGGATATATATATATCCCTCCTCCTACCTTGAGCATTGCTGCTTCCTGCCATGAACTTCCCTCTGCCATGCCTCTCTGCTATATTGCCCAGCCTTGGAGGCAGCCAACTCTGGACTGAAACCTCTACAAACTGTGAGCTAAAATAAACCTTTTCTCCTTTAACTTGTAGGTGTTGCGTATTTTGTCCCAGCAATGAGAAAGTAATGAAGACATCCTCATTTCCACCTAACATTTCCAGCACCTTCGAATAAAGCCAAGCTAAACCCCAAGCTTTTAACACATGAGCCTTTGGTGTACATTCCAGGTCCAAACTATGGCAGCATCCCACAACCAAGTCCCATCTCCCAGGGACCCTTACAACATTCCTGGCTCTCCTCTCCCAGCCTCCTCCTTCTCCCCTTTCTGCCCTCCTACCTTCAGTCCTCATTTTTTCCTCCATCTCCCTCCACACCCCAGAAGGCAACATGATTCTCTGAGCTCAGAAGGGATGGCTATTAACTCTAAACTCCTCTGTTCAGACCAGCAACTCCAGCCTGGCAGAACTGGGCTGAGAGAGGCCCTGAACCCTGGCTGAAGATACCCAGCAAGGTGTGGCACCAAGATGGGGCCAGAGCTCCAAGTCATTCACTGCCCGGGGCTGTGGGCTGAGTGAGCATGTGCTGGAAGAGAGGGACCAGCAGGAGGCTACATCTTCAGTCTCTGGAAACCACTGAAACATGCCAGCCTCCCGCTGCACTGGCTCCCGCTGCCCAGCCTAAGTTAAGGCCACAGCTTCTCAGCAGCAAACCCTGATTGCTCATGGTGCCTTTCCTGCTGAATGATTCTAGTTGAATAATTTTGCATGATCTCAAGCACAGCATGAAGAGAGAGCTGAGCTAAGGATAGTCAGGGGCTTATACCAAGGAGAAGGGATAGAATTGGAATCTAAAGAACTCCCAAGTCTAAAGACTTGGGGCAGAAACTAAAATTTCCTACACCAGCTGCCTGCACTGCTGGTCACCACTCATTACAGCAGCCCTTCCCTCCATGCATTATTTCGAATGGGTCTCCTGGTGGAAAGGGGGCTATGGAGAGGCTCCCAGTCTTGCAGGCTAATACGTAGGTCCCTGTGTGGGTGGATACTTGCCAGGATGGCACGCGCATTTTCTCACCTAACAATCACAACCTGCCCTCCTGCCCCCAAGCCGGCAGTCAGCTGGTATCTTCACCCACAATGCATGAGAAATAGGCACAGCCTTGCCTGAGACCCCACCCAGTAAAGGCTCCGTGGACAAAGTCAAACCCAGACCGTAGACCTCCAACAAAAGTGCTCACACTTCCAGAGGACCACATAAGCACTGCACCTGGACCTGGGGTGGAGCACTGATACAAATCGGAAGAAAGCCTTGGGGAAGGCGCAGGGCCCAAAGGAGGAATCCAAGGGGTTTCCCTGGAGAGGAAGGATCCAGGAAGGCCAGCTAAAAGGTGTGGAAAAAATCCTAGAATCATGAGTTAAAGCTGCTAGGATCCTTAGAGAGCTTCATTTCAGCCTCTTCATTTCACAGATGGATTTCACAGTAACCCCAGAGAAGTCAAGCAGTTTGGCCTAGGTCACACAGCAGCAGAATTGCTCCCAACCTTCATGGCTCCACCCTGCCCTGGGCCTTGCCTTCCCCTTACCCAGCCCAGCTCCAGCCTCAGCTGAAGGGAGGTTCGGTGAGGCTGGGGACAGAGGCAGGTAGGGGGGCTCCCAGGCAAGGAGGGTGGTCTCCCCTGCTGTCCCACCCCCTGCTCATTACTATTCCTGGCATCATCCCCCTCACTCGCCTTCCCGTGGAAACCCAGTGATGCCGAGAGCTGGAATTTGGACGTTTTCCCAGCATTTGGACTGTTAATTAAAACTAATAAATCTGCCACTTGGAGTTGGGTTGAAGAGGAGGAAGGGAATGGGAGGGGAGGGAAGGGAGATTCGGGCGTGGGATACCCCCACCCGCCCCTTCAAGGATCTTTTCCTTTCAGTCCTGCCTCCTGCATCATTTTCTCTATTGGCCACTCATTCATTTCATGCTTGATTCTCCAGCTGCCAGCAGGCCTGGCCCCTACCTAACCTAGTACTGGTTCATTCTAAGCAGGAGTGGAAGGTTTGCTTCTAAGGCAAATGCTGGCTGGCCATTTCTTGCCACTCTGTAGGACTGAACAAAAAGCCTGGATGGGCCTGGGGTGCAGCTCCATGGTGGAGCACTTGGCATCATGCACAAGACCCTGGGTTCCATCCCCAGTTCTTCAAGGAAGAAAAAAGGTAGCATGAGACTCAGTGGGGCTGACTTTGGTTCCAATGGTCACTTCCTTGCTTTGTGGCCTCTGGGAGCTCACCTCTCTGGGCATTTCCTTCCTAACCCCAAAAAATGCAGATATAATTCCTAAATGGAAAAAGTTCAGGTGAAGACACATGAGAAAATATGAGCAAAATAGCCTGTGACAAACTATTGAGTGATCTCTCTCTCTCTTTCTCTCTCTCCCTCTCCCTCTCTCTCTCTCTCTCTCTCTCTCTCTCTCTCTCTCTCTCTCTCTCTCCTCTAGCTCTAGCTCGTGTGCGCGTGTGTGTGTGTGTGTGTGTGTGTGTGTGTGTGATTTCCTATTCTGGCTTACACTTTTTTCCTTCTCAACCCTGCCCCCATTTGCTCTCAGAGGTTCCTGTAAACATTGTGTGTTGTAAAATAGTAAGAATAGCAATATGCCACCTTGCATGGGTAAAGCAGATTTTAATTTTCAAAACTCTCTTTCCAGACAGTGGGGTGCCATTTGTGCACCCTTATCGCCATGCTCAAAGCCATACACTGTCTGGGAAATAAGAGTGTGTTGTCCACCTTTATTTTCTTAGAACCCATTGTGGCACTAGATGCACAGGAAGTGCATAATTGATTTGCCTAGTGTAGATTAATGAAATGTTTCTATGCCTGGAGGGGACATTTGTCCCACTTGTCTGCCAATACTCCATCCCCTCATCTGCTAACAGCTCCCCCTTCCCTTAGGGAGCCACATTTCTCCTCTGCACCCCTGTTCCTCCCCCTCCCACTGCATAGGTGACAAGCATGTGGGAATGTGACAAGCTGGTCCAATCAGAAGTTCGCCTGGGACTGTCTCCCTCTTGACTGATGGGAAATTTCTTTTCTGTTTAGTCACTAGGCCAGAAGGTAAGAAGAGCTGCCTGTGGGCATAGCTCCAGCCTCTGTCACTGCCAAAGATGAAGTCATGAGCACCAAAGGGCAGAGATGAGAGATGAAGAGTGGCCACTAACTCTGGCTTTCTTATGACTGAGTTTAAAGAAATCCCCCCATTTCACCACCTTATCAAGCTGGGGCACTGCTTTTCATAGCACTGAGTCACACAACATCCTTCATCTCATTCAGTCTTCTCAGTAACATCTCAAACTAGGCCAGCAGGGACTGTTAATCCAATTTACAGATGAGAAAGTCAAGTCTTGAGAAAGCAGATGTATTTGCCGAGGCGACCCAGCGGGTAAAGGTGTACTGAACTGGAGAGTGGCAGATTCAATGCTCACATTATCTCACACATGCCCTCAGTCTCCTGGAGACAGCACCACCATTGATCCACCTTATATAGATGGGGAAACTGAGGCTAGGGTCATTGAGTAATTTACCCTAGGTCACCAGCTAGCTGTGGAGTCAACCTTGCTCCATCTGCCTGGAGTCAATGCCACCAGCCACCCTGCTGCCCTGCCTGCATGGCCAGGCCCCTTTATCCTCCAAGGATACCTTCCTAGAAAATGGACTCTCTAGGCAGTGGAGGACTGAGAGCACAGAGATAAACTGGTACCTACTGTATGCATGGCTTTGTACATGGGCCATAGAGATGCAGTAATGGCCACACCATGGAGCCTACCCTCAAGGTATTCCAGGCTAGAAGGGAAGATAAGACTTGGGTGTAAATGTTCATGCCACAAAGGATAAGGTTCCTGATGGAGGCTCAGGTAAAGTATTCTGGGTACCAAGAAGAGGGAGACATGCCTCCCATAGGGGAGGGGCAAGAGCCAAGAAAGAATCATGAGGCAAGTAGCATGTAAATGTGACTTTTAGTATAGGTTGGATTTGAACCTGCAGACTTGGAATGGCCATGACATGGTGGTTATCAGAAGCAGGGAGCAGTGCATAAGCAA